GGGGGGGGGGGGAGGGAGGGAGGGAGAGAGCGTGCAAGCGAGCAAGTGCTCACAGTGGTTCCCAGGGACTGGCATGCAAGGAGTGGAGAGTCTGGGCTGCAGAGCCTAGCAGGGATGGTTCAGGCAGCCAGCAAAGCTATGTGATAACAAAGGCCCATGCTCTGCCTTTCTGTGCACAGGTACCCTTTTCTCATTCATGGTTGTGCTTTGTTAGACAAGGGTATGGAAGATCCGGAGTCCTCACTGCTCAACAGTTCTTAATTTTTTGGAATTTTGAAAATAACCTCTTAAATGAAAGGACAAATTTTATACCTAAATGAAGATGAGCTGCATGTGTCTATTTCCTCTCCAAACTATGTGTATGCCAGGAATGGAGCTCAGTGGCATAGCGCATGCCTGGCAAACTTGAGACCGCCTGAGTTCAGTTCCCGGTACCAAAATAAAACAAATTTTATGTGTATGTTAAAATTACATTTTGTATTATCTGCAAGCACTGGCTGAGGTGGGCTGGCCACTGTTTACTTGTTGTCTTCTTAGTAGTTGGCAGGTGGCACAGGAGTAGTAGCTGATTCCTATGCTTGGATAGTGACAGCATCAGTGCCCAGCCTGATGTGCAAAGAAGGGCTTGGCAGCTTTGCATTCTTCTATTGAAACAGTGCTCTGTGTGCAGAGGGTGGTTACCCAGTGGAGACTGCCAAAGGAGCTGTCTTATTTGAGTTGTGGTTTTGAGGAGGAAGAGAGTTAATTCCTAGGGGAAAAAGAAAGAGCCCTCCACGAGTGGAGGTAAGTTCCAAGGCCCTCGGGAAAGCGCAGGCCATGCAGCAACAGAACTGGTCAGCTGGTTGTCTACTGGGGGAAGCAACAGAAAACTGCATAGAGCTGGGATCCCCAGGGAAGGCTCCTGTGCCAGTCTGTTTTCTGTTTTGTCCCTGGGTAATATGTAGAGTAGGAATTTAGTTTATGGTTCTGGAGGCTGGGAAGACCAGCCATGGTGTATGTGCTATCTGGTGAGGGCTTCTTGCTACATTGTGACACTGCAGAGAGTTGCATAGCAAGACAGAACAAGCATGCCAGCAGCCAAGTCTCTGGTCTATGTCATCACAGGCCCTTCCCTTACAAACTCCTGGAATCTCCATTATATCCCCAAGATTCCACCTCCAAATACTATTAACATACAAATTTGGAGATTAAGTTTCCAACATGTAAAAACATGTGACACATTCAGACCATAGCCATACCCTAGTTTGATGTTCAGATGTAGGGAGCTGGAGCAAGCCAACGGAGGGCACCGTGGGCACAGCCTTCTGCTCTCACCAGTCAGATGTGTTGAGCTTGCTTTCTTACCTGGAACTTCCTTGTTTGCCTGCCTGCCTTACTGTGACCTCAGGGAGTGTATCCTGGGTCCCCCAGACCCATTTTTGTGGAGTCCAGTGTTTATCCAGTACTTTGAATTACAATTGTTCTCAGCTTTGGCTACTTCTCCCTGTTCTCATTGCTGGGAAATGGGGATCCTTTGTCAAACTGTGAGTAGGAGATCATTTTTGAACGTGGCATAATTAGCTGTTGTGGAATACATGCCATTTTGGAGACGTTGAACATTGTAGCCATGGTAAAATGTGAAAACACTCCCAGGAACTTTTGGGTATTTTTTAGCTTGGTAATATTTATTACCTAAATCAAGGGTTGGCAAACTTTTTCTGCAAAGAGCTGAATAAAAAATACTGTAGGTTTTGCAGTCTACATGTGGTTCCTGCTGCTGCTTCTCCTCCCTCTCCTGCTCCCCGTCACTTCCCCTAGCTTGTCCCTATTGTTTTTTTTTTTTTTAACAGTCAGACTTTTAACATGTTCATATCAGGTAGGTGGTACAGGCATGAGTGTCCTGTTGGGGGGCTTATACCACTGGTGGTACAAATATATCTAATCACTTTTATGGCTTTTTACTAATAAAAAGTCTATAAATGAAATCTATTTGCTTGAATTTGAATAATTACTACAAAATATAAATATTAATACTATTCATACGAATTAAAATTATTGCAGTAATCAACATTTATTTTATACATTTATATTCATGAATAGTTTTTTAATGACTTTCTCTAAATTTTAACATGGAAATCTTACAAATACCCCATTACTTGAGAATATAATATGCAAATTAGCTGTATTACAATTTTTGATGCCATCTGGTGTGCTATATCAATGCCTTTCTTTCATTATTATAAACAAAGACATCCTGAGAAGTAGTACAGGCTGCCCAGTGGGACAATCATACTTATACCACTGGTGGCTCAAGCTGATAGGAACACTTGAATTCAAACCAGAGCCACCCAGCAGTGAGATGCACAAATTACAGCCTGTTATGAATGTATTAACAAGCTTTTACCTTGGGCTATGGTTTGAGATGCTGACCTCAGTCACTCAACTAGTGAATGGGCACATGTGACCTTACTATTAGATGCTCCTTTGATGACAGCTTTGCTGTGTGGATTTATGAACTCTGCCCTCCTATAGTGGCTCATTTATCTTTCAGTTGAAGTGAATTAATGTGGTAAAAAACTGACTTTGGGTACGTGTTATTTGAGCAGCCATCTGCTTGTACACAGTCACAGTTATTAATTGTTTTTATCTTGAAGCATGCAGCCAGCAAGGACCCCAGAGAAGTTCGAGAAGTGAGAGACCATAAGGAACCAAAAGAGGAGATCAGTAGAAACGTTTCTGATTGTGGACGACAGCAGCTTTTACCCCCTTTCCCATCCCTTCACCAGTCGCTACCTCAGAACCAATGCTACATGGCCACCACGAAGTCACAGACAGGTAAAAGTGGACAGCAACTCTCACTCTTTCTTGTTATACCTCTGGAACCCACACCCTCTAGAAAGAGCTGCTTGGGACATGTGGCTGCTTTGCACAGCTAGAGAGGCTCCAGTTTCTGCCTCATGCCTTCCTTGTACAGCACCTTTGTGTTCCCTGCCCTGGCCTTTTGTCCACTTGAGTCACTGCTACTTGTTTTCCCTTGCCTTTGAATTCAAGGTGAACATTGTGGTCAGGTCTTACCCTTGGGCCGATGAAGTGGAGAACTCCCCTGGTCCTGAGTTAGGCACTTTTGAAAGCATGTGGTGCGTTGGGCTGAGGTTTAAGGAGCCTTTGCCTCTGGCTCTGTTACCATGGATGATTTTTCTTGCTGTACTGGACTTGGGTGTCCTCTTGTCAGGCAGGGGAATTGGTGAACTCTGTATTACTCTGGGTAGATCTCTTATGGGAGGGGAGGGGTAACAGTACAAGTGGCCCCATGTGCTTGCTGCTGATGAGTATATTTTTCAGAGTGAGGACACCTCAGGTCCCCAGGCTTTCCTGTCACAGGAGTATATGCAGCTCTCTTCCTGAAGAGATGGGTGATCCCTCTATAATGGAAAAGCTATGAGTTTGAACCTAGAACAGATCGGCTAGTTAGCCTTCTGAATACCGAGCTAGGTTAGCCTGTGTTGGGGCTGTCAACTTGAAAGACCTTATACTTGGGGAGTCTCCCCTGGCCAAAGGTCATGTCTTTTTCTGGACTTTTAAATTTTTGTTTTGGTACTAGGGATTGAACTCAGGACCTTGTGCTTTTGAGGCATCACTAAGCTATCCCCGGCCCTAAATGTTTTTTTGGTACTGGGGATTGAACTTGGGAACTTGAGCTTGTGAGGCAGGTGGTGGAACCACTGAGCTAAATCCCTGCCCTAAATACTTTTTATTTTAATGGAATTTCAGATTTCCAGCAAAGTTGTGAAAATTCTACAAAGAATTCCTTTGTACCCTTAACTCTTTTTACCAAAACCACAATCATTCCTTCCTTTCTGGTACATAGCTTTTTTTCCTGAAACATGAATGTAAGTTGCCCAGTGCAGACTTTTACCTTTCTACCTGTAAACACTTAAGTACATTTCCTTAGATGATAGTGTGGTGTCTGTAGAAATAACGAACATTCTGTTAAATAACTTCAGTGCAATAATTAGAATTGGGAAATTAACTCTGCTGTGATACAGTTGTTTCATTTTAGTACATTGTTTATCTACTGCCATTGTTTATCTGTTTTATGTTAATCTCCCTTACAAAAGAAATTCAGTTCTGCAGTGGCCCTGCAAGTGTAAAGTCCTGAGTTTGATCCCCTGTTGCGGGGAGAGGTGGGAGAGCTGGGTGTGGTGGTGCATACCTTTAATCCCAGCACTAAGTAGGATGAAGCAGGAGCATTGTCTTGAGTTCAAGGCCAGCCTGGGGCTACATAATAAGTTCAAGGCTGATCTACAGTGAGACCCTGTCTCAAAAACATACAAACAAACAAACAAAAGTTTGTTCTGGCCACAGTTCCCTGGTTTTTGGTCTTGTTGGTTTCCTATAATCAGAAGCATCCCAGCCTTCTTTGTCCTTCTTGACGTTGGTGTTTTGAAAACATAGGCAGGTGCTCAATAGAACTTGTTGGATGTGATATTCTAGTCTTCCTCAGGATCAGTTCAGTTCACATGACTGACATACGTCCCTAGGAGTTGGGTAGCCTTCTGTCCTGGTAGAGAAGGCAGTGTCTGAGGTTCCCTCCCTCATAATATTCCTGTTTCCCAGGTTGAGTGCTATCAGGTCGGGGCACAGTAGTGGTTTTCTATCTCCATCACTCCCTATATTGGTCTGTTCTGTTCTGTGTCTACTGTAGGAAAATGATGCATTCTCCCATCTTATCTAGGTAATCTATCTATCTGTTTATTTTTTAGTTTGCAGTTTTCCTTTTATTTGGTTCTATGCTCTAAAAATGTATTTACTTTTAAGATCAATTTTTTTGTTATTACATTAGCTCTAAAAAGTAGCAGCTCATAGTTTTCTGAAGAATTTAACAACCCTGAGCCCTAGTTTTTCTTGTGTTTTCATAATGCGGATATTGCACGATGCTGACAGAAAAAAACCATTTTTGTCTTACAAATGGTCCTTGCCAATATCTGCAGCTATGAGGTGTCTTAGGATGTTTTAAAAAGTGACTAACAGGTATAAAAGTTTTCACCATAATCATTACATAGACAAAGTTTTTCCTTGGAAATTAGTGTCTGATGAGAACTAAATTAAAAAGTTTCCTCATGTTCATTACTTTAAATAAATCAATCTCAGGTACCTATTCTCTGATAAGCTTTGGTTAAGGCTTTCACAGATGCAAATCTTCTTTTAGGGAGTTCTCTTAATTTAATTAAGGGATGACCTCTGGCTGAAAAATTTCCCACATGCATTACATTCATAGGGCTTCTCTCCAGTATGAATTCTTTGGTGTGCAATAAGTGAGGAGCTTTGACTAAAAGTTTTCCCACATGTATTACCTTTGAAGGGTTTCTCTCCTGTGTGAATTCTCTGATGTTGAGTAAGAGCAGCACTTTGGCCAGATGACATCCCACATTCTAGACATCGGTAAAGTTTCTCTCCAGTATGAATTCTTTGATGATTACTAAGGGATGGGTTACACCTGAATGTTTTTCCACACTCACTGCATTTATAGGGTCTTTCACCAGTACGCATTTTTTTTTTCTCATATCGGTACATTTTAGGTATACAGTACAGCTAGATTCATTATTGGGATCTTGTACCTTTACGTGACAGGTCTTGGTTCTCACTTTTTCCCCCTTGTCCCTGCCCTCCCTTCACCCCCTCCTCCCCTCCTCATTTACAAACACTCTGTTACCATTTTTTCATATTCTCCTATTTTTTTCTTTTCCCTTATTACGTTTTCCCTACCCTTCCCACTTTCCCTACACCTTTAGCCCTTTCCTTCCTATTTCACATATGTTGAATACGAGCTGAACTTTGTCTGAAGGCTTTCCCACACACCTTACATTTGCATGGTTTCTCTCCAGTATGAATTTTCTCATGAATAATAAGAATAGAATGGGAACTTAAGGCTTTGCCACATTCATTACAATTATACAATTTTTCTCAGTATGAATTATTTGATGTCAGTTGAGTTGTGAGATAGAAGTGAAGCCTTTTCCACATTGATTACATCTGTAGGGCTTCTCTCCAGCGTGAATTTGTTCATGTTGAATGAGTGATGCACTCTGACTAAAGGCTCTCCCACACTCACTACATTTGAAAGGCTTCTCTCCTGTGTGAATTCTCTGATGATAACAAAGGGATGAGCTGGACTTAAAGGTGTTACCACACTCATTACATAAGTATTACTTCTTTCTGTGATGACTTCTCTGACCACCTGGAAGGGAAGTAGTACAACTGGATGGCTTCCTACCTGGATTACATTTATGAGGATTTTCTCAAGCATGGATTTTTTTGATGTATAAAAGGCCAGATCTTCTGCCAAAGGATTTACCACATTCTTTACATCTATAGGATTTCTCCATGGTGTGGTTTCTAAGGTGCTTACAGAGGGTTGTACTATGACTAAAGACTTTCCCACATTCTTTATATATGTAGGGCTTCTCTCCAGTGTGAGTTCTTTGATGTTGAATAAGAGCTGAACTTTGGCTAGAGGCTTTTGAACATTCTCTACACTTAAATAATTTTTTTTCCACTATGGTTTTTGTCATATTTATGAAGGGAAGAATTGTGAATGAAAGCTTTTTCACATGTGTTACATTTGTAGCATTTCTCTGTTGTCTTGATTTTTGGTGGCTAAATGAATTTGAATTCTGCTTGAAGCTATTTCTTTGTATTTCATATTTTAAGGGTATTTTTTTCTCTCGCAGTTCTTTTTGTCTTAACAACTGATTTCGGGCTGATGTTTTGGCCAAATTCAAAATTGTTATGGCATTCACCTAAAGCAAGAATTTTCATATGAGTTACTGAAATTATTTGCAAATTTTCATTTTTGTCCCACTGTTTATTTTTTTCATTTTTAATTTTTTTTGTCCCACTATTTTTTAAATCTGTCCTCAGAAATGTAGGGTCTTTCTGTTATGAAGTCCCAGAGTTCATCTTTTTTTAGTCTTCTAAGCCGTAAAGTCTCACTTCCACTCCACGGAGCGTGAACAGCCAAAAAGTCCTCTGCGATGCTGGGCCCTAACACCCAGCAAGGCTCTGGGAGCTCGACGGAGAAACGAGAAACCCAGGAGGGAACACACCAGGCTGGATGGTAAATAGACCTTTATTAGTCTGGCCAGACGGCGCTCTTGGAACCAAGTAGCTGGCTCAGAGAGGCACCAGCTCAGGGGCTGAGGTCCTTTTTATAGGGGGGTAAAAAAGGGGAGCTAACATTTTAGGCTTGCAGGCAGGGGACAAAGGTCTGCTGATTTGAGCTGGTGGTCAGCAGCTGCGTACTGGGCAGTCACATATTGATGAGTAACAGATACCACCTATAGGATGTTTCAAAGGTTACCAAGCCATTCCAGATGAGCAAACAGCTTGACAATTAACTCTAAAACTTACACATTAATTTGGATTCGGACTTCAAACAGTACAAGATTGCCTTACAGTCCTAGGCCAGGGTTAGAACAAAGGTTGGGGCTATGGCTACAATGGGAGGGGGTTAGAGCACTGTCTCCTAGGCCCTTTGTTTGTCATTTAGCGTGGGCTTGTAATTTAGGCCTTACACATTAGCCCCCGAAGTGATGAGTCTTTAGTTTGCATTGTCTTTGTGGTTTGAAGATGGCTTTTACATCTGAGAGAGGGGCCTCCAGGCTTTTCTTAGCCTTCCAGGGATCCTCTCCTTGCTGTAACAGGGAGATCACCCTTGGTTTGTTAAAGGGAAATCCCAGGGAAGCCAGCTTCCTGTAATTCTCCAGCATCACATCACGGTACAAGCTTCTCTGCAGAGTATTAGCTTCCTCCACTCCTCCTGAGTAAAGAGCACA